TCCCTACAGAGAGAAAAAAAATTGTTACTGTCAAGTTGTAACAGTGGAAAAAAGCCTCCCAACTTTCGTAAGTACTGTATTATTACAGTACGCAACATACAAGATTCTCTCAATTATGGATTGAAACAGCACAACTATGAAGATGATTCCTTAAAAGATGGCTATGCATAATTATTTCAAAAGGGTGAAATAGAGATGTTCAGATCAGTTTAACAAATCTCAAGGACAAGTTTAATCATTACAATAGGCAAAGTATGGGAAATACTAGACTCTGAGAAACAGTTTTGTTTTTTAAGAATTAGCCAACCAGCAATCATTACGCTGTTAAGAAAACGGCTGTCATTCTTCAGGATTTATTTTAACTCAAAAGATAGTCAAGTTCTTCATTGGGCCTAAAACTCAATATTCAGATCTTATTATGCTTCTCTAATTCACATCATAATCCCCAACAGCCAGATTGTGTTAAGCATGCTTTATACGTTCCAGACAAGAACCTTAATAGCCAACTATAGAAAAGCAGTGGAAATTATTGGGGGAAAGCTCACTACAACAAAGTTATAGCACTTCTATGCTCATTTTACAAGGTCATAGTTTTTGGAAAAAGTCCTTCTCCACTAATTCCAATTCAATTTAGCCTTCAGAGATCATACTTCTCAGTCCATGCAAATGTAAAAGGCATTCACCAGTATACTTTAGTAACAAGTGCCTGTACCAAAGTGTTTGGTTTTCTTCCTTGTTTTTTTGTTTTGGGGGTGTGTGTGTGTTGTGGGTTTTTGTGTTTTGCCCCACCCCCCCAACTGGGCTGTAAACTTGAGGGTTTTTTGAAAATAGCTCTTAGGAACCTATGCTTCTGTGCTCTAAGAACTGAACTCTAATCCAACTACAAATCCTTATGCAAGTGTGTTTACTTGTAGCTAGGTGGACACAGAATTACAAAACAAGAATTCGCACAGGAACACAGAACTGCAAGGGGCTGTGTAGGTAGTCTAATCCAATTCTTTGATGTCACGAGTAACCTCACACTACTTTCATCATACTTGACCAATTCTAATAAAGGATTTGGAACGTTTTAAGTACTGATCCTCACAAAAGCTGTAACATTTTATATGGTTCAAAAGTTCTTCTGCAGTTCTAGATTATCGCTGTCCCATACGCCCTGCAAATTGAAAGGTATCACAAAACAGATGTGCCTAATTATTTCAGCTTGAGCTTATCAAACCATTTTACACAGACATTATATAGTGTAGGATGCTTTATTCAGAACAGCACTCCGGTGTGTACTTTACAGCAGATGATTAATTGAAGGTAACATAACAAAAGAGGAGAAACACACAGATGTACTAAAAAAAATATTCATACTCTTCACATTGATTTAAAACCAGATCCTAAGAGGACATCGTATTTTTACAGAGGGCGCCTCTCTCTCCCTATCACTAGGAAGACAGATGAACTGAGCTCAAGGAGAGAATGCTGAAACAGAAGCAACTGCAGAATTTTACAGGCCACCTCTGATCTGCAATTACCCAAAGCAAGTTTCCATGGAATAAACATGGAGGAAATAGGAGTGCAGAATCAAGTTTGCCTGTAAAGTACAAAGAGCCAATATTCCAGAAGATCCCATCCAACTTATTCCATGGGGATTAAAAAATTTGAATGGATCATATGAATATTCATATTTTATAAATGGCTTAGTGAAAAAATAAATTAAGCCAACTTACCTTTTCTTTCCTCAAAAATCCATCTCTGAATTTATTAGTGGTAAATCCCCTTACACCAACAGAACGTAACCGCTGGTACTTAGCCTGAATATATAAACCCTTCTGTACTAAGCCTGATTTATAATGGGATTGCAAACGGCCATCTGCAAAGTTGCTCTGTAAGGGTGGGGGGGAAGGGAAGAAAAAAAAAGTGCAAATGAGGGCACCCAAACTCAATAGTTTATATTTACAGTTATACACATGTAAAACTTACAGTACTGAACAACAGAAGTATGCATTTGCAAGTGCAGAGCCTCTTCCTTTATGTCCCAATTAATACCCCTCGCACTGCTACCACGTGCCTCAAAGAACTGCTGTATTGTACTCACTGTTTACAACATCTGAAATTATCTTCCTCATAGAAAAAAAGTAAATGTAGTGCACAACATTTTAACATTCTTTCAAACTTTCATTAAAGTAAACCAGAAGCAACAAAAAAGTTTGAGACAACGCCTCACTATTGCTAACAAATTCAGTGATGTCAGGCCTGTGGTGGGCCACACTTCTAAAAAAGTCATACTAAATTGAAGTCAGTATATATATGTATTTTTCCTATAGTTTTAAGATCTTATGGTTTGAACATACGTTTATTGCTCTATACTTCTGTCACCTCCAGACTGGAATACTGTAATCTAACCTAGTGTGGGACCAGGAGCAGAGGCCACAGACATAACAAAAGGCTGTTACAGGTGAACAGCATTATAAATACACAGAAAGAATATAGCAAGATCAGCCCTCACCACAGCAGTTAAAGTTACACAAAGGTTTTCATTCCCAAACACTCAGACCTCCAACAAAATAAGCAGTAAGAGTCTTTAAAGAAACCCCCCCATTTACCATAATTTCTCAGTTTTCCAGTACTGCCAGTCTAAGTTTTCCAACATGGTCCTCAGAGAAATCATTCCTCTATATATTCATCCTTTAAATGTAAAGGTTTTCCCTCCCCCAAATTTAAACAAACAGCAGCTTTCCAGCTAAAAAAGATGAAACATCCTGACCATATAAAACTCTTATCACCAAGTTCTTGTTACAACCACCTTTAAAGAGTAGAAGAGAACAAAATACATCACAGAAACAGACCTTCTTGAGTATGACCGAATGACTTTGGCAAAATCAGTCTCCTTTTGACAGAATGAGGATCACTTCAAGAAAAATCACATGCTCTGAGGTTGCAGTAAGTTTGGTATCAGTTTTTCCTCTATGTTTTTCACTGTGTGGCTGTTGAACAGCTAAGAATGGACTGTACAGAACAGAGGTTCCTTCATGCAAACGCAGAGATTTTGTTATTTCCCAAATCATCTGTCCTGGTTTTTGCCTGGGATACGAGTTAATTTTCACAAGAAGCTGTTTTTGCTCTGGCTGAGCAGTACCTGCACAGCGCCAAGGCCGCCTCTTCTTCCCCTACTCTGGCCCTCAGCAAGTAGGCCTGGGGGTGGGCAGGAAGCTGGGAGGGGACACAGCCAGGACAGCTGACCCAAGCCGAGCAAAGGGATATCCCGTGCCATCCCACCTCAGGAAGAGGAACAGAGGGGAGGGGGCTTTGGAGGAGGGGAGCCATTGCTTGAGGACCAGCTGGGCATCACTCAGCTTTTGTGGGAGGTGGTGATCGACAGCCTTTCCTAACTTTTTTTCTTCCTCTTTCCTTCACTTAAACTGTCTTCATCAACCCATGAGTTCTCTCACTTTTGCTCTCCACATTCTCTCTCATCCTGCCGGAGGAGGAGGGGAGCTGAGGGGAGTGGGCAACTGTGGTGCTGAGCTGCTGGCTGGGGTAAAACCACAACAGCCATTAACACACTGAACTGCGTTAAACAGCGAATGAAGTTTAGTTCTGAAGATTACCATGCATGTACCTACTTAAAGGCTGGCTTAGTGATTCGCTGCCAGGTGTCTTTATAAAAAAGGCCTTTTACATTTTATAAAAATTTCTCCAGACCCTTTATAAAAAAGGCTGTTCTAAAATTTTTTTTTTTCAAAGAGTTTAACATACTGCAAGATTTTTATTTTTTTTTAAATACTCTAAATAAAATGGGCATTTTCTCATTATAAGCAAAAGGAGGGTTTATATACCAAGAAATGTGGTGGGGATAGGGTTTTTTGGGGGTGATGGCAAGGAATGGGATTGTGTGTGTGTGGTTATTTGGTGGGGTTTTTTGTTTGTACGTTTGTTTTTTTTAAAGAATCACCCAAGAAAGGTTGCTGAGTATAGAAGATAGTCAAATCACCTTCCTAAGCAGGCTTCAGCAACATCATGGGAAGGAAAAACCCTCTATGTTACACAGGAGGAAATTAAATTTTTTTTTAAAAAAGTTGATGCAATTAAGTCAAATTAGCACTGTTTCCATGGCAATGATAAATGTGCTATACACATATGCAAACTGCGATACAAGTGCATATGCTATTTTCCCTAAAAAAAAAATAAAGCACCATGGGACAGATCATTGTATACAGCAAAATTCAGGCAACATTCACATATGTGTGTGATGAAAACTTCAGTGGACACTTTCATACTTGCATACTTCCAGAACTGTAGGCTGATGTAAATGAAAGCAGTCTTCCGCTTTCTTTAAATTACATCAGCTACCAACGCTGCCTCAATGGTATGGCAGCCAGTGCTAAAGATCCCCCCCATCCCCTGTAGGCTGACAGTAAAGAGGGGATACTGATTAAGAGGCTATGACGTCCTTACACGTTAAAATAGTTATATCAGGCTGACACTTTAAACTTAGCTTCAGCTTGGAAAAAGAAGATTTTTTTTTTTTTCAGTAGAATAAAGTTAGCATTTTTTGCTAGTATTAGCTTAGCTATCCGACTAAAATTGGCTGGTAAAGCACACCTGAATGGGAGAGCCTGAGAGCCTTCTTATCCAGCAGTTTTCTTATGTTTAGTCGGGGGAGCAGGAACAAACAAAAAAACCCCACACCTCCACTGCCCCCCTTTCAGAATGTCATCCAAAACCACCAGCTACTTAACTTAGCCATCAAAACTTTACTTCAACTTCACTACCTACAAAACAGGCAAGATGACCACCTTTCTGTGTGTTATTTTATTCTTGAGAACACACCTGTTAAATAAGCAGGGGTAATGTTAAGGTAGAAAATGAGTGTAGATTTGATTAATACTTCCCTGAAGAGCTCTAACTGGATCCATGCATAGCATGCCACTGGCAGCAGAAAAGGAAGAAAGTGTTTTGTTTTTTCTGCTGAACTCATGACACATTTTACAATCAAAAGGCATTAGAAAGCCACTGCACTACCCCAGGAAGAAGCAGAGTTGGCCGCCTACCATCTTGAGGCTCCAAAAATAAAGCTTCACAATTTTAAAATTATTTTTTTAAATGCATAGACAGCAGTACACAGGGTATACACAAGAGATTAGTTCCCCAGAAATCCCTATATGAAAGGGCTAATAAAATAACAGTAATACAGTTTTGAAAGCAATACAATTCATGTCTCCCAGTCTTGGGAAATAGTTCAAGCTTCCGCAGGTACCAGGTGAAGGAAAGAAAGCTGACCAGGTTTTTTGGATAGATAAGCTTTCTAGTCATTGTCTAATTTCTGCAATTCTCATTCTCAACTTTGCAGTTAACTTATTTCAACTGCACAGATAGAATACTGGACAACCCTGCTCAATCCATTGCCAGCCCCTCTACCTACTAAAAGCTAAGCCTCCCATTATTTCAAGAGAAACAATCAGGCTATGAGGACACTATTTTTCATGGGACTTAATACCTTCAAAAATGTGTTTCCTGTTGCCAAACTCAACAAGATCAAACTACTCTTATGTAACATGTCTGATGAAAGCTGATCTGTACCTTAAAGTGTCTTCTGATGGGTCCTGCGTTTTCAAGATGTCCTCTAATGCGTCTGTGAGGGTAAGTATCACTTGGTTTTGAAGAATAGTAAGAATTCTAGTAGGAAAACAAGAGTTATTAGCTTAATGTTACTAAATTATTCAAGAAAACATATAAAGCTTCCAGGTTATACTAACAAATACTGCAACTCTTCCAATCTTGTAGCATTTGACACAATGACACTGGAAGGAACCAGAGTAACAGGAGCATAGGGCCTGGAGTCCAGGCTGGCTGGAGTGAAGCCAATGATAATAGAGACCATCCTACTGAAATATCATCTTCTTGGAGATCTAAGCAGGTAACAACCCAATTAAGTTTTTCCACCCCCCAGAGCAGATGCGTCAATTGGCATGCGGCAAGTGTAGTAGACAGGCTGCTATAGCAGTCATCCCTTGAGTTAGGGATAAGAGCAACAAGATTACTACTCTGGACATCCCTGGTTAGCATATGGTCATCATAGGTTAGTGTATTTTAGAGGAGACACAGGCACTGTTACTGTGCACGCCACCGCAGCAACCAGACAAGGAACGTGTAGCACGTTACATTGGTCCTTAGAGGATTCTACTTTTAACTCTGTATTACAGGAAAGCGTTGTGAAGATCATTTGCCTGCTACAGAAAGGCATACGGTATCAAAAGCAAGTGGCACAGACAAGTGGTATGGAAACCGTTGTGTCACACTGAACAGCTGCAGTCAAACAGCCATGGCTGCCTAAAATAGAGCACTCCCCCTCCAGCCACTGTGCTACCGGTGTATTTTGGCCCTTTCCCAACTTTTCCCATAACAGCTACTTTGCAAGGATGCACACAGCTAAAATATCATTCTCTTCCATCATTGCATACAATTATAAATATTTTCAGAAGCATTACATACTAGCATATACTACGTTAAAGTCATCTAATGCAGACAAAACAGACTTGCTAACAAACTCTTAGCAATCAAATTAAATTTTTTTATGGTCCATTCTTGAATAATCACCAGTGTTCCAATACTGTTGAACTCTGTTTTTTCAAAGGAAATTTTAACAGCTTCAAATAAATTTTACAAAGAGCCTAAGACAGAAACTCTCATGCAATATTGCATATATACTAACATCTAATAAATGCAAATGCATGCTTTGCTGTTGGCAGAATTTCTGTTCTCTGACAAAGTACCAAACCTTCCCAGTGGCAGGAACACTTTAGGATATACTAATGGGGGGGTGGGGTGTATGAAAGACAACAGAACAGTGTTAGAATCCAAGTGAACTTTTAACTGGGATTAAGCTTGGGTTTTTTTCTTTTGAGAATATATTACTGCCTACAAGTCAACTACTTAGCTTCTTAAAATGCCTTGACAAGAAGGGATTCAGCAGAGAACAAAAAGAGAGGAAGACTTTATGAAGTGAGATCAAAGTAGTCAAAATGGCTTTTCCAAGGAAAAAGGTACGGAAAGTTAAATACACAGAGGAAAAAGCATGTCAGGAACTTCCCAGCTCCCTCCTCCTAAAAATATGAAGATACTCCATGAAATCAAATTAACTTTGTCCATACAACATATAATTAAATCAGGAAGCTCCATGTTGAAGTACATTCCTCATTAAAGCTGAGAATTCAGCAAGATAAAAAAAATATTTAAAAAAATTCCTGTTTGTTAAAAGAAGCATTCCCCTTCACTGGCCTGTTGTAAAAGGTGCTCATACCTTGCACTGAAAAGTTCATATTGGTTAATCATGGAATACCAGAAGTAGGCCAACCAAGTCAATACCATTTCCATGGTTAATTTTAACCCAAATAACTAATACCATCCATTTAACAAGAGAGCAAAAAAGTGGTGTTAATATCACATTTTGATAGTTTACTGTAAGGACATTTTAGTATGACCAACACATCATCTGTTTTCACAGTAGGCAACATCCTAGCATCAGATATGAGCTACTGATCAAGCCTTTCAGTTTTCAAGCATCCATCTTTTCCAATGCTGATCCCCACAGCTCCTCAAGCAACAGCACTAAAAACCACAATGAAATTTTACTAACAAAGACAAAAATGTGCAAATATTTATCCAGTAAATTAAATTTTAAATTCTGTGTTATAATTTAGATGCTGCAGTGGTTTTCTTTTTTTAGACTTATTTTTCCATATTTTCTGAGCCTTGGCACTGTTGTGCTTGTCATTTGAAACTTGGCTCTCTGACGTATTTTTCTCTCAATATTTACCTATAAACAAGAGGAAACAGACCTTAAGAGTTTTTGTTTTGGATTTCCAAGGGTTTGTTTTTAAAATTACAGGTGGAACTCTCCTCAACAAAAGTGGGAAGAGATGTCTGTTGTGTAATTTTTCACATGTTTTCTCACACCTTTACAATTTTGCCAATACAATGTGCTATTGCTGCATCTCTTCTGCAGCATAGAAAAAGCTTCCCACAAGAACTGGAGAGCTCTGCTTGGACTGTGAAACCATCTGAACCAATATCTACCCAAGAATCTATAAGACTGAGCAAAACCACAAAAAGTTACTTTCTTCTTCAACACCTAGTATCTTAGCTCTTGCTTATGTTTCAAACTTTCTCAGTTTTTCCATGTATTGCTGGGCCCCAGTAACACATCCTTCATTTTAGGATGTTTCCTATTTAAAAGGTGTGGTCGAGCCATCATCAATGTTCTGATGACCCATCAAACCACTTCTTACATCCAATGCATTGCTCTCCAAACACTGTCCTTACACTTTTCCAGGGGCTTGGCAGTGTTTACTATTCTGATACAAGACTCTGAATAGCAAATTCAAAACATTTGTCCTCTTGCAGAAAGCAGCTACAAACGGCCTTTACCGTCATTCATTTTTGTTTTTCTAAGGTTGCTTTCAACTCTACTGAGATTATACTCCTAAAGTAGTAGTGAATACAGTCATGCAGCTCTGAATTTATTACAGAAAACCTACTCACCACAGAAATGATACATGCAGTTGAGACTACAGTTGGCTGCTTGGATGCCACGCCACTTAACTCCCACAGCAAATACTAAAGCAGTGCCAGCAGCCTACAGGTATGGAGATGGAGCTTGAGCTACTGCCACCAGGGTAAGCTCTTCTCCGATCACACCCAGTCCCAAAGAACTCCTTCAAGGAAAGCCGTTTATGAGCACCATACATTCTCACGCATGCCTACAAGTCATGGGAAGTGCCACACCGCTGGAGCTAGCTTATTCAGCTGAATTACTTGTACTGCCTCAGATACAAGTTAGATGTATTAGTGATCTGCTCTGCCCTGCAAAAGATTACTCTTTCTGCATTAGTTTACATATTGAGCATTAGACATACTACATAAACAGGAAAACAGACAAGGGGAGCAGAGTAAGACAAAAGGCAAGAACAGAAACACAAAAACAGAAGAGGAGATGCAATTAAAGAGTGCCAATTAATGTACTGCAGACACATTTGCAAAATGTCTGTAAGCCCTCCAAGCCAGTTGGCGAACATTGATTGTATTTTTACTGACAAATGTGGATGGCAAACTAAAGTATTTTATTTCTCATTTGTCTGCAAACCAGCTTCTGCATGGCTGACTTCATGCAGAGTCATTCCTTCTTTAGGAAGTCTTGCATTTGTGATACCCATGCCTTCACGGCTACTATTGTTCTGAATGGCTAACTCCTCACTGTGGTGCAGGACTTTAAAAACTGCATGTTTGCAGTTCACTATTGGATATCAAAATGCAATCTTCCTGAATCTTCAGCACATCTAACAATAACTCCGTTTCTATTTCAAAATAACTCCCTTTCTATTTGCAATTACTATCTTACTAAATGAGCAAGTACTTCTTGGTTTTGGGGACTTCGAGCTTGGTCTTCAATAAATATTTTTTACCGTTAAAAACTTTTCACGCTGAAAGATGCACTGTTATAGCTGCAAGGCAACTACATTCCAGCGATGATCAGAATTTTGACTAAATAAAAGCTACTTTTTATGGACCTCAAATAAGTTTCCCAGTCTTTGGAACACGGTCCATATAGTATTAATTACAATGTATAAAGAATGACAATTTATATTTTGCACCCACTAGAAAAAAACCAAAACAAACAAACAAAAAACCACACTGTTTTAGACTTGTACTACACATTAATAAAGCTTTTCTGGTCTCACTAGTTCCTTAAGTTAAACAAGCACAAACCCTTGGAAATAAGACTATATTTATTTAGAAGGAATTTTCCAGAAAAGACAAATTTATTTCTACTGAACCTAATATAACTGTTTTCCCCATTTCAGTATTAAAGTACATCACAAAAAGATAGCCCAAGAAAGAAGTGCCCAAACTAGCTTTGATAAAGGCAATATCAACACTGATAAGCTATTCCATTGTGTAACACTCCATCCTCAAGAACATTATTTCAGACATTTCATAATTATTGTGATTTGTCCCTCATTTTTATTTGTTTTTAAAATAAGAGCTTTCCAGAACTTTTATCATAATGAGGAGAAATACCGTTCTAGTAACAGTGCCACCCGCACATAAAAAAATTCAGACCTTCCCTTCTAACCACTGACAACTAGAATGCAGGAGAGTATTCTTTTTCTCAAACTGTTCCACATTACCTCAGGTAATCTGCTCAATAACAAGGCCTTCTAATTTAGAGTTCAGATAGTGTGTCATTAAGTGGAATAAATGCAATATTAGGTACAAATTTCTTTCACAAAGCTACAAGCAATGTGAGTTTTTATGAAATAAAGCCCCTTAATTTCACTACATAATTTTGAACTTAAAATTTAGTGTTCAAAAGTTTAGTTTGACCTATTCCTGCTCTTCGATAAGAGATCTAAAGTTTACCATTTTATTTCTGGAGTAGCTGAAAAAATGTTTTGATTTCACCCAGCATACTGATCTAAACTAGCTTTCTGAAACAAGAAATCCCTGGCCAACTCATTGCTCTGTTATAAAAAAGAATAGCAAAGCTGTTATGAGAACTGCACAGGTGTGCAAAAGCAAAATAATGAATTTTGTTGGATCAGCATTTGGTCATAAAAGTGGTTTTAGCTCACTTGTGTTAATCTATGCTTCAACGCATATCTGAGTAAGTACAGCACTAGAACCGTGAAACTATGAGCAGTTTTATTGTTGAGCGAAGTGCAACTATAATAAAGCCTCACTTGAAATTTAAAAGGACAAGACAACACAGATTGTTAAATTTACATCAGCACAGACAACACAGGAAAAAAAAAGATTATAAGTGTAAGAACAATAACTGCAGAAGCTACTAATTCTACATTTACACTTACCAGGTGAGGTTTCCCAATAAATTTCCTGAAGGGTGGCTTAATGAACCTCATAGGCTTTTGGAAGCCATCAACTTGAGAGTTTTGTAATTTCGCAAGATTGCAGCTTTGCTGGTTCCTGATGCTTATGTGAGACAGAGGGAGAGAATGAACAATTAAAATCTAAAGCCATTGTGTATCAAAAGCCTGTATTTTAAATGACCTTAGTCTAGCATCTGTATCATTTAGAAGTACAAAGTGACAGGTTTTAAGTAATTTTTATCTAGGACATTTGACAAATTACTAGTCCTCTGACTAAACTGAAGCCCGAGTTGCACAGAATTACGTAGTAGGCTGTATTCTCTGATGCAATGACAAATTAACAGAGCTATTCTGCCTCCCTGAAATCCTCGCTATGCAGATCAGGTTTCCCTGGCTCACCCCGCTAAGTCTGCATGGCTGGTCATTGCTGCCCTCCACTGGTTGAAATGCTTCTTGCAGTTCAGCAGTTGTTTTATACTGTGCTATCTTTAAAGTTGTACAGAAATTTCCATTTCATGAAATCCCAAATCCGACAGAAACTCACATAAATAGATAGATGCTAGCTAGATGCTCCAGTTTCATCCTCAGCAAGGAGGATGCTCTGGCTTTGGGCTTTTGCTTGCTTGTTGGTTTTTGTAATGAGCACATTGCTAATACAGATGTGTCCATAAACCTCTAAATAAAACATATACCATGAAAAGTAACCACTAGAAATCAAAATTTATAGTTCACGAAACATACGGAAACAGTTTTCATATCTGCAAAATAAATTACTAAGGCAAAAGAGGGGTGCACTGGATTAGCTCATAAGCATTGTCAGTATGTCGTATGTGAGCTATGAAAAAGCCCGGATCTCAGGAAAATTCTACCCATTGTTCATATCATTACCGCTCTCAGCCCACACTACATTGTCAACGTTACTCTGACAACCTAATGTCTCCTCACATCAAATTCCAGGGCAGTCACACTGGAATAACTTGAGCTTCCCGCTTTGAGCGGCATACACAAAAGGTAAGCATGACAGCAACCAGGAAAGTGGCAAATAAAAGCCTTTGCAGATAATCAGGCCAAGCATACACTAAAGACACAGCCCCAGGAACATAAAGGGCTATAGACAACAGTCCAGTATACTTATTTTTTTTTCACTTCATAATTTTTTTTTTCTGTTTAAAGAATCTCAAACACAAGAAACATTTTTCTGCAGCTTCACAAGTCAGTTTTCCAAGTACGTGTGCGTTGCCACTACTTGCCATTATAGACTGCATTTAAAAGGAACCAACAGCAGCATATTAAGAGCTATCTGCAAATCACAACTCCAGTGTAGATACGTTTCATTATACTCTGGCAATTCTTTAATCAACATTTCTTCTAATACAAATAAGTCAAGTCATCTCTCTAATCAACCAACGTCGCAACATCAAAAAATGAAACAGGATGACTGAGGTTAGCAAACACCTCTGAGGCAAACACGGTTAACAAACCTGCCAGAGGAATTCATAGCAGTAAAAAGCGATTCCAAAAATCTAGCTTTTCTTCATAAAATTCTCCAAGAATCAGAAGAATTCCAATTTTTTTTGATATTCCACATGACATTACCAAACAACCAGGGCAACACAACAATGTATTCATCCTAGAATGCTTTTATGAAACTACAAAATACCAAGAGACTGTTGTTATATGGCACATCAAGGAGTCTAAAAATAGTTGAGCATCTTTAAATTCGTTTCTTCCCTCTTCCCATTCAGTGCTACAGTTTGAGCTTGCTTTTCAGTTTTCCCACTGCAGCTTAACCTCTTTCAAGGTAACATGCCATTACAGAGTAGTACCTTGCAATGTATGTCAGTCACATTTCAGTCCAAGTCAAATTTACAAGGACAAACTATTGAAAATAATCACAACACAAGTGAACTTAACCATCGAAGTCAAAAAATGAACACGTAAGAGAACTACAGGTTTGAGCCAAGACGACTGTTATTTGCTAATTACCTTGGAGTTAGACCATCTACATGAAACACTCTCTCATCTTCGTTCTTCAGTCTCTCTTTTCTCCTCCTTTCTATATCATGCCGTAGATCATTTGGATCTTCTAACACTCTCATAATGTTCTAGTTAAGAGGAAGGGTTAAAGTCAAGTTAGCTAGTAATAGCTAAACACCAGCATGATTCTGTCCTCCAGGGGTTGCATCTGGTATATAACCTTGTTAACATAGTTCACCTGTCTGCACATAGGACAGATGCACATCAACCCAAGGATCCAAAATTCAGAACAGCAACAAAAAGTAGTCTCAAACAATTATCCTTTCTTGCACCATCTGCCTTTTCACAAGTGTCCAAACAACAGTGAACAGAGCACTGGAATTCTGCATGGAGTCACCAAGGCAAAAATGTTCACATAATTAAGAACAGTAGAACTTACTGGAATTTAATTAAGTTGAATCTCCACATACCTGTACTATAGAAAAAAAAATGGTAACTAAATCACAGTAGGCATAGCTTGAAAGGGGAAGACAGAAAATCTTGTGTAAGGTAACTAAATCACAGTAGGCATAAGCTTGAAAGGGGAAGACAGAAAATCTTGTGTCCCTGGACGAAAGCATGAGATAAAATGGCATTCTGAGGAATTAGGTGGATGTCAGGCCATTCTAGCATTAGGGTAGAAGAAACATTAAGGCTTTTTCTAACATCAGAGGGAAAGCACGAGCCACATGTCAGTCACCTACTTAGTATTTACACTGTTTAAAAATAGCTAGGGGTTCAAGCAGCAGGAAAACTCCAGCTACTCTGGAGAACACACCTGCATTTTACTCATCAGCGAACACAGTATACTTGCACCGTTGTACTATCTGTAAACATGCTCCAGCGTGCATGTCTTTCAAAATAGTCAGAATTACTGATGGTTTTCAAAGCATGTTAAAATGACTTACCAATAGAAAGGGGAAGATGCTATTTACATCTATATCATTTTAACTTACTGTCTGCAAAAAAACTTAGGTAATCAGAATACCTGGGGAGATTCAGATGGCACAGTTCGTTTGTTCTGAAGTTCTGATAGAGACATGTCAATCCTCCTGGAACACAAAAATATTACAGAAAAAACAAGTGCCATCACTATAAATAGCAAAAGCATTATTGACCAACTGCAGAATTCTTTACAGACTATGGGCAGGCAGTTTAGTTTAATTTACATAGCGTAAAATCTACTGCAGATTAACTACTTTAATACAAATAAATTAAGGCAAGCACATCAATTACCTGTGAATTTCTGGATCCAAGTGTATTTTAACTTCATTCACATTTGCAATTGGTTTATCCTGAATTTTTGAGAACCGTTCATGTAGAGTTATGTCAGAAGACGGAAAATAGTTTGCTGTGAAGAGATATTAAATACAGCAATGTTTATTTGTAGTATTTGAAATGCATCGTGGGAAATTGTATCTTTTAAAAGATTAACTCTGAAGGCATCAAGACAACTTCCGAGATCAAATTTCAAACTATTTCCACTTGCAGTGTAACATGCACAAATGAAAGATTAGGCCAGCCCAGCTTAGACACCCTTCTTATTTAATAAGATTAAGGTCAACAGAAAATTCACTATGTGTCAGCTCTATCACAGTAGTACTCAAATGACTAGAATCTATAAATAGAGTTCAACGCTGAACGTGATGCAGCAGTCTAAATACTAATCTGAAAAGTTAAAGGAACTACATAAAACTAGGAAGTTGTGACTACAGCAAAGCTCCTTTTTTCTTCTCTTGTTCCTAAACATGCAGTTTAGTCTTAGGTACTAGCATAGAATCCTTTTGAGCTTAACACTCCACAGTAATGCCTCTATTATGGACTGAGACCTTCTCCCAGTCATTCTCCACCCAACTACTTTTAAATCCTCACCCTACATTTTCCTTAAACAACACAGAATGAAGCCAAAGGCAACCACTTGAGTTAGGTATCTATTTAATTCATTAGATTTGAGTTTAATAATTATAAATACATAAACACCTTTATGTATAATACCCCAAATATTACAGACACCTTTAACTTGATGGATAATTGTGATTATTTCCTGAGTAAATTCTCTCGATGGGTCGTTTTCAACATTGTGTGTCACAGATTCCATGTGTTCAAACACCGGGTGAAAATTTTCAGTTTTCCTGCCAACAGCAACCAGATCATGTGACATCTGTCTCTCTGTAGTATGACTAGAAGCAGTCCTAGAATAAGAATTTGCAGATATTTGCTTTAAAATAATTCACTGTATCTGAAAACTTAAAATAGATGAGTAGAACAGAACAATACATTAAGAAGTTCATTTTAGGAATAAATGTGATGAAACTGAAATCTCCATTTTGTCCTTTTTTAATAAAATACAGAGATATGACTACAGTCAGGAATCCTTGTTTCAGTGAAGTATGTAGCACAAAATTTGTGCATTTTAAAAACTTAATTCATCAAGGTTATCAAATAAAGCAGGCAAACAAAGATCCTGACATACTACTATAGTATAATTCTGGAAGATAGTTATGTGTGTGTCTTTGCTTATAAGGAGCTATCAGACAATTTTCAAGAACAGTTCAGAGATACAAAAATCTCATGGCTTCTTTGGGAACCAAATCATCACTTGAGCCTACTGAAACAGCTTTCCAGTGGCAGCGTGTGAACTTAAGAACATGTTTAGCATCTTTCTGTCAATTTTTACTCATTCTAAATAAGTTTACGCCCCAAATGGTCGCATTACTGCTTAAGTTATTTTGACAAGGAAGCTAACACTTTAAAAATCCTGCTGTTCTTGTTGCAAAGAAAATGCTTGTCATTTGGAAAGATAAATTGAGGACTCAAACAGCCCATGTAGAAGCTTTTAGGATAAAGACTCTGTTTACTGTGCCTTCTGCAAAGTGATTACATGCCTGCCCATCCTGTACTGAAATCATACAAGACCAGAATTTCATACAAAAATTGTATCAGAAATAGCTTCTAGCAGGTGTCAGAAGTCATCAATTTGCCCCCAGTAAACTGGAAATAAATGCATGTGGGAGGGAATCCAAACAATCTCAGTTGTAGACAATTTGAATTATCTACCTGCTCCCCAGGTTTATAAAGAAAGTATTCTTCTCAGCTGAGTCATTTCAAGTCAGGTGTTTGTTAAATGCCTAAAGTAGGCAGCATGAACATTCCCAGTCATCAGCTTCTGCAAAACTAGTGTTCTCATCTCCAAAAAAGTAAAAGATTTAGTACTTTTGGCTGCGGAAGCAAACCTTCCACACATTAAATTAGCTGTAATCAATGTAGTAGTTTTTTCAGTCTGCAAACAGTTATCATGATCATTGTGCACGACTCTAAAAAAACAACAGCAAGAGGCTTACTAGATAAAGGAATCATCCTGTGGGCTTGCAACAAAGCCCAACAATAATTATTTTCCTTACATTATCATTCAGGAAGCTAAATGCTTGTCCTAGCCTGGGGTAGGGGGGGAACATTACTCCACTTCCCTTTCCTTAGTCTTCAGTATTAGCTCCTTATGTGCAGATAGTAACTTATCTTTGTAAGTCTCCATTGTATTACATGTTTCTGAAATATTGGAAAGGGGAAAAAATTGATATAGATGTTTTGTTTATTTGGCACAAGAAGCAATACACCTTTAAAATGAAGGCTGATCATTGTAGAAGGGAAGGTAATACCTTCCAAAAGGGATTACTGCCACTATACGACATTCTTGCCTGCAACAGCAGGGCAACAAACCAGAAAAGCCTTCAAAAATCTACACAAACCAAGCTGCTTACTCTCTACCATGTATCCATCATCTAGATTTTTATATTACTACCATTTTTTTTTCCAATTCAGCTGGCACTGAGAATGCTAAAGGCAACCACAAGATTTGCACAGAAGATAGCCAGCAGAATCCACTGCTTTTCAGTTTTGATGGCTCAACAGATCACCACTTTGTTACAACAATAAACAACATAATCCAGGGATCTCTAATTTTTCAGCAGCTTTATTGAACTTGAGATCTTGAACATATAAATGTGTGCCTGAGATTTATGTAATTTAAAGGTGATCTGGGTTTGGTTTTTTTTTTTTTTGTTTTTTTTTTTTAGGAGAAATGAGGGGTGACTCAGTCAAAAAAATGCCATCATATTCCAGAAGAAAGCACAGGACTAGGCTTTTCTGGGCTTGATTTTTTGGTTTAAATAAAAGTAACACATTACTTATCAGCAACAACTTTTAACTACAGGTTTGCATCAGGCATATCTGCTCTTTCCATTTCCTACAACATGTCCATGAAATGAACTAGTGGGGAGTTTGGTTTGTTTTTGAATAGAGGTAAGCTGTATGTTTCTAGTCTGGGCAAGTTAACATTTTAAATGAAATAAAATCAAAAAGATACAACCTTAGTTTGTCCTGGTTACCTCTTAAAAGAAACTGTGTTTTCCTCCAATATTCATAAACTGTAAAGAGACAGGAAGAAAGAAGAAGTGGTGAGGAGAAACCAATACCTGTACTTGGTCACCATTTTCTTCATATCCACTTTGATTGTGAGACGTTCCCTCCTACAGTTGACATCTGACATTTTCAGATCTGAAACAGTATGACTCGAGTCATGCTGGCTATCGGAGGAATTTACTTTTTTCCTGAACTCCCCTTCTTTCCTTACTCTTTCCTTCGGTTTGTTTTTAAAAGATCTCAGATCAACATCCGTTTTGGAAGAGTTAACGCAAGTATTGCAGCCCTTCTTTGAACTGTATTTAACAGGTACTTCAACATGCCCTTCTTCAGTCCGTCTCGCTCTTCCACCACTACAGTAATCTAACTCTTTGCTATTCCGGGCACCCTTAGAAGAACCGTATTTCTGGTCTTCCTGCTTCACATACTTCTGAGCTCTATCGTCTGAAAAAGGCTTTTCCCCATCCAGATGCCTGCGCCGTTTGTGACTGTACTCATAGGCTATCTTTGCGACAGAACCCTCCGAGTACTCCCTTTCAGCCGACCGGTGGGACTGGGCACCCAGATTTCTTTGCTCCTCCTTTTCTTGGTAGGGTGGAAAAGAACGTTCTTGCTTCCACTTGGAATTTCTTGCTACTTCTCCACCGTCATACCTCTCCATTTCTTTAGCCCTTTTAGACGTGTGCCCATATTCTCTGTAATCGTGATCTTCAGGATACCTGTGTTGACATAAAGCAATTTACACTTGCACTAGAGAAGAAAGCGAGAACTTATATGTGCAGAATGTTGGACAGCAGAATGCGTGGCAAGTTAACCCATAATCCCTCACGCCAAGGTACAGATGTGCAGGGGCTCTTAAGAGGGAAACATTATCCTTTCATACTCTAGCCATCAATACGATTTACTTAAAAGACAAATACTTCACTACTACCAGTCGCCCATAATTAAACTACAAAGTGGCCAACGTGTTTCAAGGTGGATATCTTCAACTATAATGAAAACAGACTTTCACTTGAGGCTTTACACCACAATACCCAGGTTTTAATTATTTTATTCCTATACCTCTTCTGTAAAGAGCTCCTTGCCGTAAATTCATCAGAAACTCTTCTGGGTGACTGACCATACTTCTCTTCATGTAACCTCTGGTGCCTCAAGTCATCTTCGTGCCATTTTCTTTCGAGTTTACATGAAGCCCCTAACGGTCTATGAAAAGGTTTCATTCCTTTTTCATTTCCAGTGACTTTGTAGTGCTCAAACAAGTATCTTTCTTCCATTTTGGGTTGGTAAAACGGACGATCATGCTCTTTATATGGTATTTCCAAGTATTTTGGTGGTAACTGGCATCTCCTATTGCTTTCAGTTCTTTCAGATGAATGTGTTCTGTAGGGCTTATGACTGTAATTATCTTCCACGGGAATTCTTTTCAGGTTTGGTGAAGGTGATCTACGTTCATATATTCTCTGGTGGTTATTTCTATGAGGTGCAAACCTGGAATTGCTTTGTCCGTATTTTTCATCGTCTGTTCTCCAAGGCATAGGTTTCTTTGGGTCCTTACGAAAGCTTTTATATTCACAGTCATAATTAATATGAGCATGCCTTTGCCTATGGTGCTCTGGACTCCTAAATGCTGGAGATAAGGACCTAAGGCAAAAAACAAAATCCACTTTGAGCAGTCCCATAAAACTGAATCAACTTCTTAATGAGAGCATCTATTCCCTAAGTTTAGTCCACAATTTTAATCAACTGGTAAAAAATTAAAAACAAGCCAAGGTATTCAAAGTGTCACTTGCCTGGCTAGAGTGCCAAGCTTACTTTTATTCTGTTGAGAGTTTTCAGCGTACAAATGCCCACTCAAGACAGTAATATGTCAATCATTTTTCCCTCTTCGCGTTTTTTCATTTAAAACTGATTTCTTATATATGAAGTTTCCACTACGTTGAAAACAACTGTTATACACATTTTCACACTTCTCAAGTATTCCTTATCTTTTTCAGTGCCAAGAGAAAAAAGGGGAAGAAAAAAAAAAAAGCATAGAAAGAAATGCAAAAAAAAAAGAAATAGCCTTTTCAGGCTTTCTTTGCATGACAAAACCACCCCAAAAACTGATTGAAAACATTATAAAAATATCCAAATATCCTATTTACAATGTCACACAAGTAGGCTTTTTCCTGCAGGAAAGACCAAGTTTGAAAAAGAGGTTTTGGTCTTTTTGTGTAATTGCATGTACACGTACATACAGGTGTACATATGTAGTTCCACACTTATTGTGGCTTTTGCTATTAAAGATTCGGTTGCATCACTCGGTTTTGCATTTTCACCTACAGTTACAAAAATGAAAGCAACCTGTTAAGAATTTTTAGCCAAAGTCTTCTTAAAGAAAAAACACCACGAGCCACTATTAAGAACCAGAAAGTAATCCCAGACATAACAGTTCTGCTTGTATTCAAGTACTCACTGTACACTCTCAATACACTAATAAAAACATTGAAAAATAGAAGTTGAAAAAATTCAAGGAAATCACTTCCTTTGTACACATATTGCAAATATACAATTTGGCATAACTATTTTCTCCATTTCTGCAAATGACTTCAAACTGAGAACCACAGATCTTCATAAAACCATAATGGCTAACTTCAAGAGCACCCATACTGCTGCTGCCACCCCACGTTGTTCTGGGTAAGGCCTGCATTTTAATGAGAGCAAGGGCATTCCTCCCTCCCTGCCCTTCACTCAAAGGACATTTTCACAACTATCAATCTAGTATGGAAATAGATCAGATTTCTCTAGTTAAAACAAAAACCCAAACAATTTTTTCTGTGTTATCCAACAAACTCCCTTGGTCATCACAACTTAATTAGTCTGTTTAGAAAAGCAACCCAAAATCAGCAAAAATGTAGTTTCATATTATACACTAATAGCTGTTGAAAGCTTAAAACTGTATTCCGGCCTCCTAGTTTTAATATCTCAAAATTTGCATTGCAAGTCCTAAAAATTAGGCAGGTAACTAACAGCATGAAGTAACCTGGATGTTATTCTGGTGACATACATCAGTGACACATGCTACTGGGCTAGTGGCCAAAAAGGACACCGACTCCCATGTTTTCAGTTGGTGTTATGCTGCAAAGCCTCTCTAACTGTGCTAAAAATCAGTTTGCAGATCAGCTCCAAAGGCTCAGAAAGTCTGAGGTGTTTGAACTAAGAAGTATTTTTTGACAGCTGATCTGGCCCTCCCTGTAGACCAAGAGGCAAAATAGGAGTGAGCTACAGACATCAAGTGCACCAGGTGGTGTTTGAGTAAAAATAACCTTCAGCACAAAATCCAAGCACCAAACTAGTTAAGGTACTTCCAAGTCCCAAAACGTGCAAGTTGAATGAGGTTCTTGGCAGACAGCAAAACCTTAACACCTCCAGCTTAAAAAAAAAAAAAAATCATAATAATAAAATCACAAGTTGGGAAAAAAATTGCAGCTGCTGTTCAGTTTGGAAAACAAATTATAATTTATAGAATACACTTTACAATTTGCAATTCTGGATGCAATGTTCTTTTGCACAAGTTTCAAGTCCTATTATAAATCCTTATAGAGAGCTACATTTCAGAACACAAGTTATAGATAAATATTTACCTTGGTTTCCATCGTGGTGATCTAGATCTAGATCTTGTCATCTTCTCTCACGTGTTTATATGAATTTCTTGAAGCTGTAAAAATGACACAATTTACTAGTCTGATAACAGAATCACACCACAAATTGCAATAGGGACAGCTGATTTTAACAAGTGTAGTATTAGATGCTTCAAGGTTGGAGTGAGGCATATTTTTTAGGATGTTTTACCTCTAATTCCCATTTTAAGGCAAGTAACTTTTTAGTAATTGCTGATCTTAGAACATAGCTTATTTTCTTTATAAAGATTTAAGTATTTGACCATCGCTCCCTTTTTCTCTCCATTTTGTAATGCTGTCTATTCACTCCGTTTTTAAATGTTAATAATCTCACAAGCAAGCCGCAGCAACTGAAAAAATGCTGTAATTGTTAGCATGTATTAAGTGTTATACATGAGAGGGGATAGACAATCAGCTTTAAAAGTCAAGTCTACAGAGAAAAATGTTTTTCATGAAGTTATATTCTGAACTTCATATTGAGCTTCAAATTTGTAACATACACTGATATTTTTACATCGTCACAGTCTTCCTGTAAGCTTTAACTGCTCCATCAAGTCTTAACTGTTTTATCATCACACACTTCATTCAAATAAAACCACATACAAAAAATCACTTTTCATTTTTATACTTAACTTGTTAGTAACCTACTACCTAGACACACATTTAAATATACAGTGGATGCACTATGACAGGAAGCACTGCTCTTGAATCCTGGAAGTAGCTCTGGGCTTCCCTTCTCACAAAAGCTACAGAAGAATGAGAAAAATATCAGTGAAATCTACTCTTCTTGCTCTTCTTTGCAAAAAAGAATGCTAGAAACTCGGAAAACAAATGATGAAAGGATATACAGCTCACCAGTAACGTGACTGGTGAATAGGAATGGAATGATTATTCATTATTTAGCAAACACAAGGATTAAAGCAGAGTGAAATTATCAGGTAACTGGTTAAAAGTTGGAATTTGGACCACATACCCATGCCTACAGCTCCTTATTACCATAAGATGCTGTAAAGGCCAGAAATATAAATAGAATTAAAAACAGATCCATCAACAGCTCTGAAATTAATGAATAACCAGTCACTTGACACTGGAAGAATACGCCCAGGTCAATGTCACTCTGGTATTTTCTGTAAGGATTTACTCACAGACACTCATGGAGATAGAAATCTAGTCTGGATTGGCCAAGCACAGCCTTTTTGACGCTCCCAGTGCTCAAATAATTTTTTTAACTAAAGCTTTCACCTGACCAACTAGAATTGAATTGGGAGGAAAAACCAGCAAGCTTTAAAGCACGTAAGAAACCTGAAGAAGTATGTGTGCACCCACATGCCTGACCCTTTGCCTCACGTCCCTCCCAGTCACACTAACTGGTCAAATAAATTACTACCCCTTGCTATATCTGATTTTTTGTATGATTAGCTCTTGGCTAAAGCAGCAGTATCTTAGAGGAGAGCGTACAGCACACTTCTGATGCCTACCACACAGGTGGGCATTGGACAAGTCATCTACTACATTTCAGAGTGATTCTAGAAATGTTCACTTGCTGCTTATTAAGTTGCACTCTAAGCTAACCAGTTATATGCAAAACATAGCAATAGCATAGTTCTGGAGAAAACCCTCTTGAATTTATTTTTTTAATATCTCAAAAGTCTCCTGTTCACCATGAGAACATTTGCTCTGCAACAAATCCTTCCATGTGACAAGGCATGAAGATATAAGAAGTGTTGCAAAGGATAGTGGGGAGAAACACAACCAATCCCAAAGACAACGTATAATATTTGTTCCCTGAACTTTCAATTATGAAGTTAGCATTGCCTCTTAGATCCTAAAGGCATATATCTGAGGACTGCATAGCGTGAAATAACTTCAGGCTCTTTGCTTACTCAAAGATCATACTAGCCAAAGTTAAATGTGATGCTCCAATGCCAGTACGCATGTTAAATATTTTTCAAACAAAAGTAATATTGTGGCCAAAATACTTTCCTATTTCTCACCCATAAAAACACACCTTACCAAACTGAACAGTATTTCAGAAAAAACACGCAGCCCGGGCTAACACATTTACAAAAGAAATGCACGTCCCACAGGTTGAAAAGATTCACTACTACCCTCTCATAAACTTTAAAAAGTGACAGGGTTTTATATGACATTCAAGTTCTTGCTTTCTATCTTCCCTTCAGTTCTGAACTTTATTCTTCATTTTCAAATGAGTATGTTAACACCAAAAAGACAATTAAAGACTATTAAAAGACAAAAAGACTATTAAACCCCACCCAACCATCCTACAGAACCTGGTATGTCAGGATCTCTCAACACAATCAAGCTAGAAACTGAACACATGTAAACATTCTTATTCTTTCGAGACTGGCTAAACAATCATACTAAAAGCGTGAGAAGGACTGTGACAGCATGTCCTAGATCTTGGTTAGGATAAAAAGGACTCCTGTAACTTCCAGTGAAGACACACCTTTTGTTTAGTGGAAAGAAAGTGTTCATTTCAATGCGCCTCCTAAAAAGTGACCCACGCAATACCATTTCCTCACAGCGAGATTCAAGATGCAATCACAGCATACGAAGGCAGCAGACACTCGACCCCAATCAAGACTCCCAGTGTAACACCAGAATCACAAAGTAATCTATACAGAATTTATACGCACATTGCTAAATTCAGGTTTAAATCATCTTATCTAGACCAGCAATACGGCTCTGTAACAAAATCAAGCTTTTCATAGGACTGTCCCAGGCAGTAAGCCTGACCATAGCAGAATTACTTGAATTAAATAAAGGCCCTAAGGTTCCCGAGTCAGTCATCCAGGCTGCGCTCCTGAAAGGCCAAGTCATGTTGGCACAGAGGTGCCAGGACTTCTATGCTCTGGGTTCTGAATTTCGCCAAGGCCCCCCTCCTGCTGCACTTTATGGGATGCTGTCACTGTGAAAACTGAAGAACTATTCTAACTAGGAAGGAATATGATTAGGTTCACAGTGCTGCTCGCGCTTGTTGCCTTGTTGCATTACAATAATAAGTGACTCATTGGAGGAGTTATCAGTAACTCTGCTTAGATAGTTTTTCTTTTATAGTCTTTCTTTAGTCTTTCTTTTATTTTCTTTTCCTTGACTTTTGAAATTTAAATCAGGCAACTTCCCTCTCAGGAGAAACGGCCTCAAGCCTGCTGCCAGCTCTCCTTTGATTCCACCCTTGAGAGATCAGCACTTTGACAAGCATGAAATTCTTCTAGTATGTATGTATTACAAACCTGAAAGGAGTGTCTTGAGAGAAGTAACTTGAAAATGACCAGAAATTGTATGGGACATGCCAATCCGAACAGACATTCTTTTGGAAAGGCTATAAATTTTTAACAACTTGCTCTCCTGAACAGAACAACCTTCAATCTCCTTGACTTTCTCCAGTGTGAAATACAAGAAATCACAAACGACTGCTGTCATCTAACTGAGTGGAGGGGAACTGGAGCTTTTCCTAAGCAGAGAATCCCACACCAGCAAACCCCAAACAGCTGAAATCTTGCAGATAGAGCACAGACTGAGTAGAAATAACTCTCCTGCAAACAGACCATAAATATTTGGACTGCTTTACATGCCTTTTGGGTGCCTTCCATCATTTGTTGTGGATGATGGAAGAAACCTTACACAGGACACTGTCATGGTTTAACCCAGCAGGCAGCTAAAACAACCACACAGTCGTCCGCTCACTCCTCCTACTCCCAGTGGGATGGAGGAGAGAATTCAAAATGGAAAGGAAAAAAACAAACCTTGTGGGTTGAGATAAAGACAACCTAACAGGATAAAAGAGGAAGATAATAATAATAATAATAATGACTACACAAAACAACTGATGAACAGCACAATTTCTCACCACCTGAAGTGGATGCTCCGCAAGACCCCAAGCTGCCCCACCTCCCAGCCCACCCCCCAGTTATAGATGGAACATGACATCGTAAGGTATGAAATAGCCCATTAGCCAGTTTGGGTCTGCTGTCCTGGCTGTGTCCTGTCCCAGCTTCTTGGATGCCCCCCTCCTTCTCATTGGGAGGGCAGCATGAGAAGCTGAAAAGTCCTTGACTGCTTGGCAACAACTACAAACATCAGTGTGTTATCAACATTATTCTCATCCTAAATGCAAAACACAGGGCAGGTCAACAGTAGTAGTGCTCACTATCAAGGAGCTGCTCTTCAATTGTCATTTCACCTGTAATGAAGGGAGATGTCATTCCTTATCCCTTTGTAAGGGATTGCCCGACCACTATTGCCACTGCCTCCCAAATCTTTTGGAAGAGGAAGGGATAAGCAAGTCTTTCATAGGTTGGGTCACACAAGCAGACATGAAGACAGATGCTGACCCTCGCTGCAAAGTCTAGCCAGCTCATTATTCTCTCACACTGCCCAAAAAGCTAAGGAGCCGCTGAAAGCTTTTCGTTGGACTGCCTTCTAGATGGGGATCAACCAGAGGCTGCGAGGGAAATGCCAGACCATGTATTGCTGCAGTGGCTGTCAGAATAGAGAAACCAGGAATTGATAGTCTCAATACCAAGACAGCCAAGTATTTGACAGAAATACAATCAAATTAAAAGCTCACCTGCAATCCAGACTTTAAAAAAAAAAAGTAGATCTCTCAAAGCCTGCAATACAGAAAGCCATTTATTCTACCCTTAAATGAAAGGTATAGAACTGGACACTGTTCTAGTAAGTTAATTAGCCAATTCAAAGGCTGTCCCACGTGGCTCCTATCCATTGTCCAAGCAGGACACAAGCCTGGCATGTTCTTGCCCATTCAGCTTCCAGGCAAATCTTACCACCTCCAACAGCAAATGCCCAGGGAAGAGCTCCCAGCAAACTAGCCTGAACGTTTCTGAACCACATCTCCTTTAGCCAATGCTTCCCACACTAGCTTGGGTATCATCACCACAGGTAGGGGCTCCTAGTGCTGCGTTAGGCCATTTCTCCCTATTTTTTTTTTCTACTAAACACCTTCAACCTCAAAACCACAGCT